CTGATGTAATTTATTCAGTTTTTGCTTCATGTGCGTCGCTGTACACACCACATTCGCTTGTATTTACGCACAAACGAGGCTCTACCGATTCTTCATACCTCTACATACCACTATACCCACCACTATGCAGCCGGGAAACAAAGTTCCTAGTCATTGTAATTTTGATATGGGCATTGCACAATTTTCGTGTCAACATTAGACTACAAGCGTTGATTAAACAGATATAAGATATAATTGAAAACAGCGTAAATAACAAGACGGCGATGCAATCAAACCTCTATTACAACAACAAATAAATAACAATATGCGTCTAGTAAGAACACCCAGCTTATAGTTTTGACATATATTCGGCGTTGAGTTATCGCAAAGTAATCCTTTGCGAGATTTCCCTTGTGCATCTTTGAGGGCAATCTCTGTACGCATGACCCCTTCTGATTTAATGGGAAGGCAAAATAGAGTGCAGTTGAAGAACCACACATTCTCTTTCGTCTGAAGCGCACATGAAGAAACCTAAGTGTGAAACCAGCGACGCCTTTCTGTACACTTTATTCGTCACTGTTTCGCGGCTGGCATGTTTGGACGACACTGCTGAAGGTCGCGCACAGTTTTGCATACGATTGATTGCGCCCGGTCTAATCCGAGCCCCGAACCACACCAGCCAGCCGCACTCCGCCCTCTTGTTCGTCCGTTCATCGTCCAGCACCCAGACAAGCTAGGTGTTCACCCATATTCTGGTTTGAACTCCGTTCGACCTTTCTATTACAACCGCGCCATTCATAGTTTCGCTTTCGGCGAAGACCATCACAGTGACGATGGTAGCCCCTGTAATAGCTTAGCTACCTCATCGACAATGCTTGCTTCGGATATGGTACTCTCTAGTACAGTTCCTACGTGCGTCATGCTTATTTTGTGATGCGTTGTGCCGGTGTGTGTGTGTTGTTCCCAACATTTAGAATGTGACCAGAAATACTTTGCTCACACCCCATAGAACGTCTATCTGGTTAGTTGAAAATTTCGAAATATCCAGCTTATCATACTGTGCTGACACGACAACTTCGCATCACATTATGCCACTTCAAAAAACGAAAAACTTTGCTGAAACCGAACGCGAAGCTAATGGCTGCGACTCCATCCGGTTCTCAATCATGCGCTTAGATAGAGATCTAATACATGCCGCTTAATGCTTTTTCCTGATTGTACGTGGAAGACATATCATGACATACTATGTGGTACATTTCCTGCCCTCTCAGTCTGTGGCCGGTTCCACCCTCACTGCGAACAAAGGTCACTAATTAGATTAGCTTACGGTATCCAGCCTCAATTGCAATAGAGCTATGAAGCAAACCCACCGTCAAGACTTGGAAACCTGATTGCACTCGCCACTTTCTCTTCTGCTCAAAAATCTGATAATTTATTGTTTAAGATACATCTTTCTACCACTGTCGAGTTCGTTTGCTTGTATAGTAAAGAAATGAGCATGGTAGCAATAATGAGGAAGTAAGTTCCAATAGTTTTCTTGAATAAAGGTCACGTAGATGGTTTATCATGCAAAATATCAATTGTTGTGGGATGTTACAACCATGCTCATGGAGAAGAGAGGATATAAGAAAGGGAGCATTTTAGAGACAACCTTTGTTAAATCTCATTCTGGCTTATGATTGAAAATGCATTGCGTAGTTGAGCTCACTTGATATTTGATGCTATCGGCAATGTGTTAAAGTCTTTGTTGAATTGATCATAATGTTCGCATTAGTTATAGTTGCTATCTTTTGATTGGCACAAAGTTTTTTAGTAGTACCAATCGTGCATTTCCAATAGTCGAACGTTTTCACACTTCAAGCGCTTACAACTTCCTGTCCAACTCGTTGCTGTCCGTCATAGTTCCCCCCTCTAGTAATTGACGCATTACACTTGAACGCGAGCATGACGAGCAGGTTGTTTCGCATCTTCTTGTCGCTACTAATGTGCATGTGTGTGTGTATTCGGACGGGAATGTCGCATATCGGCTGCAAAGCTTTCAGAAGTTTTAAGCAAAGAATAGCATAAGTAGTGGTTTCTTGTATGGCCTTTGCAAGCGAATGCGAAATTGTTATACGCATGCAGTTTGTCGCTTGTGCGTATCATCTGAGTTCTGATGGTCGATCGATGCTCGCAATCGCTTTTCAACCAACACCGCCACCAGCGTCATACCAGCGCTCCGAACCCCAAGCTCTGGAAAGACCTCGTTCTAATCCCTTTGCATCGCATTCATCACTCTTATGTCTGTTTCCGTTGCGTGTTGCGCATTGCGCATACATATTTAAGCGTATTGTAGTCGTTTGCGACGTTGACGAGAGCATTTAGGGAGTGTGATATTGAATATGCCCGTGTTGTCTTAAAACAATCCATATTAGATCGTCCGCAAAGTATTAATATGTTCTTACACAAGCAGATGCTTGCATGATCCTCCGAAGAGTGCGCGTCTGCGCATACGAACATGTCCGTCCAGAAATTCTGCCTGTTCTGGAGTCAACTAGTCAGACCCAGCACGCCATCGTCGCACAATTACTGAACCGGATCGACGTCACGTTTGAAGCGTAGCGAGCCTCAACGCTTAATCCACACCAAGGTTTCTCCCATCACTCGTCACCGCAGTCTGTTCAGCAACGCCTTTGCACAGCTGATTCAATGGTCATCGAAACGCGATGATTTTCGTGCTTGTCACAATACAACTCTCATAGATTTCTCCGCGATCTCGCAACAGCCGGCGCTTATCACTCTTCCGACCAGCCACACCAACCAATCTCTCTACTGGCCACTTTAGCTGGGGTATCTTGGATTTGGACTCTCCTTTGCTCCATCCTGTTGTATTGTGCATTTCCGTAAGCTAGATATACTTCCTCCGGGACAACACCACTTCGCCTGATAGCTGAGCAACATCGCTCAAGCTATGCTTCCCCTTTTGACGACCATGTTGCCGGCTTTTTTCCCAAACATAAAGTTCTTTCGCCTTCTGCAGTTTTCCATTCATTCCTGACTTCTCTGATGTATCAGGCAATTCAAAGGCCTTTTATTCTTAGATATGATCGAACGTCGAAGAGATTATGAGTGACAGCAGGAAGTGTATCTTTCAAAGAGCACATGATTTTTCTGATGCTATACGTATTGTTCCGTTTGGCTTCTCTTATTTAATTTCCAACTTCTATCTCTACATTGTACTGATCATCTGCAGTAGTATGCTTTTATTAAGCTTTGTTTCAATAAAGCAGAAAACATCTCTGCATCTAGGTTGGCCTAACAAAGAAATGGTATCGCTTTGTTGACGGTTGCTGGTTTTGTGTGCAGCTGCAGCCCGTTATAACGAGAAAAAAATCCTACGTTGATTTGGGCAGATAAACTTTTGTTGAATATGATCTCGATAAGGCTCGCTTTTTTGGAACACTCTAGTTTTTGAGTGAAAATGTTGAACTCATTCTCTTTCTTTTTTTCACACCAAAAAAAAGGAAGCCTTTTCATCTTGTAAGGTAGGGAAACCAACTCCTTTGTTAATGTTTCTACAGATATGTTTTTATGGGTTGAGTGCAGAGTTTCGTGGCGCGTGCAGGAACACACGGGGGCGCATCGCCAATCTATCACTCCTCCTCGGTCCAACGTGCATCCGTGTGTTTTGATGAGTTTTTTTTTCAAATGCACGCGGCTTGCTGCTACTTTTACTGATTGACTCAGCATTTGAAACACAAGACACTAAACACCTCCTCTACGTCTCCGCTGCCCTGCGATGTGTGTGGTGTATCTGAACTGTATGAGTGTGTATATGCGAGAATTCCTGCTTACAGTCTTGCACAGCGAGTGCAGTTATAGTCGCCGAATAAAATTCTGCGATAACTTATAACCAACATTCTCTAAGAAGAGCTCTTTTGTTTTTTTCCACATGTACTCGCTGCTTCACCTACCGTATGCTTGCGCGTCTCTTGAGCAGACAAGTGTAGATGCTGATAGGTGGCGAAGCTATGAGTGCACAGTCTCGGGCTCAGGTTTAAGCATTGGAAGCGCTAGGACTCCAACAATTTAGTGTAGGCAGCATCACTTTGTTGGTATCTGGAACGGTTCGATGGAGAGGTGGAGTGGCTCGACGATGATGACGACGGTGATGATGATGAGATGATGGTGATGATGATGACTCCTCCCGCGGCCTCACTGCGACAGCCTACAGCCGTTGGCATTCAGTTCTGGTTTTCGCTCGCACCATCAGCATGTGCACTCGTTTCGCGTAATATGTCCTATCAGTTTCGAGTGACAGTGCAAGTGCGAACGAAAGATCGTTAGTATGGATGTGGTATGCGTGTGAGTGTGTATGCGAGTGTATGTTTGACCGTTGTGGTGAAGGAGGTACTTGTGAGGTGCGAGATTTATCGCCGCCGTCCACAAACATCCAAAATACAATCACCCACATCCTCATACCAATGTCGATTAGGCTGTCACATTATACTCCCGCTTTATTAATTTCTTCCTCCAAAAATCCCAGTAGGACAAGTAAAAATTTTCGTATTAAAGTTTCTTGGAAATAATTTTTCTTCTACGAACAAAGTTATGGATTAGTGCATCACAATT